TGTATAATTCAGTGGCAGTTATTTTACTCTTCATGTTGTACAACCATTATTGATATCCTTTTCCAAATTACTCTGCCACTGTTGACATAAACTCAATGCCCCTTATGCAACAACTCATTCCCTTTCACCTATGATAACCATTGGTCAAATTTGGTTTCTTTTTTCCCCCCGTGATTTTCTTGATATAGTATTCTTATATCATACACTTCGATGGTTAAATCGCTTTTAAAATGAGTTGTATAATCACAGTCAGTTTTAGTGCCCTCTCCCCCTCTCATGTGTTCATTGTTTGCTCCCCAAGTCCCTTCATTCTCCCCATCTCCCACGCCCACATCCCCAATACACCTTTGCGTTAGTTATCTCTTGCATCCTTCTTTTTCTGTGCTGTCCAGACTGGAAAACCCAATGGAAACAATAAAAAATAAAAACAAAGTGGTAAGGATAAAACAATCATGAAGAGAAAATACAAATAATGAATAAGAAAGAAAAGACCACCATCAATATGTAAAAAGCCAAGGAAGAAATTTTTGAGTTGGAACTAGCAACATATACTTGAGCCTAGAACAAATTCACCTTGGGTCAAGGGGGAGGTCAACTGACCAAATATCAAGTTCAACTGAGCACAATCAAGTTTGCAATGCTCTCTGTCTAATATAGTAAAGTTGCTCGAGACCCTTGCCGGTGGCTAGAGGGGATCTGCCAGTAACTTCATCTGACTAGATACTCTACAGATGGGTTTGGGGCTCCAAGCCCCCTCCATAGCCTTCTACAAATTGGGTGTTCACAATTTAAGCTCTAATACTTTTCCCTTTGTCATATTTGTAGTTTGTATAGCTCATTTTCTAGCAAAGATTTTAGCAACCATTTATTGGAAAGCTTGCTGAGGCCAAGATATTTGCTTAATATTGAAAATACCCAACTATGTGAGTTTCCAACTTGAATACCTGTAGCATCGTGCTATGTCTGTGGTCTTCAGCCCCTAGCCTCTGGATTTTATTCATTGGATGGTGGTCTCCTCTCTTCTGGCTCTTCTTGGAGTCTTCCCAACCTGCCTTAAAAGGCTTGACCCGCCTAAAAGCTGTTGTTTTATGTGGGCGGTATTCACATGTTGCTGCTGCAAAGCCTCAGTAATTTAGGAAGGTGTCCACTGGAGATTTTGGTTTTTAATATTTTGATACTGGCTTTTTATATATTTTCCCCCTGTGGTATAAAAAGTATCTTTTTTTTTTTTTAAGGCATCCTAACAGGACAATGGCAAGCATATTTCTGAGAGAATTTGTCTGCAGCCACTCACTGACCACAGAGACATGTTTGATCACATTTAGTTGGAACAGATCAGTGCATGTATGAACTGGAACCCTCGTAGCAACACTTTTTGGTATAACCTCATATATATCCTTGGCCCCCTCCCTTAAAAAAAAGAAATAAAAAACAAACTCAATATGGTAGGTTTACCTAGCAACTGTTAGGGTGCAGAAGATTTACATTTGGGGGACAACCCATTTCTGTCACCAGAGAAGCTGTAACATTAAAGGATTCTACGGGCAAAGATTTGAATGGTGCAGCAACTCCAAAAGACAATGAAATACAGAGTCACAGTTGTATACACACCCACCTTCTTTTAGTTCTGCGTCTTCACACGGGCCTTTCCCTTCCTCCCAATGCTAACTTCTGTTTATTCTTCAGGTAACAATGAACATGTGGCTTACTTACAGAAACCTTTCTCTAGTAGCTCCTTGTAGTTTGGGAGGGTTCTTTTGGGGGTGGGAGGGTAGCATGGATCATAAGTGTTCTTATTCTCTCTCCTGACTAAGTCTGGGGCAAGTGCCACGAGGGCAAGACTGGCTCTGGCAAGGCCCCAGGCGGGCACAGTACCACGCACAAACAGTCAGATAATGACGTGCAGAAGGAGAAGGGATCTGAGCTGCTAGGAGGAAACTGAGAAAAGGGAAATTCTTTTTTTTAATTTTTCTTCATCTTTAACAACATTTCACATTAAAAGTGGGTATTAGCCAGACTGAAAGAAATTAATGAAACTCCAGGAAATAGAATAATGGAAACTAGTTTCTATGTTTGCTGCTTGAGACTTTTTCCAAGTAATCCCATTGAAAGCTTTTCCCTCTCCCTATTGCCAAGCATTCTTCACAGGCAAGCTTTTATCTTGGGCATTGTTCAGAGTTATAGCTTCTGGAAACCCTGTTTAAGTTCCATTAGTGACTAGCTTTTTGCTTGAGTGTACACACGCTGAGTATAAAAGTTGTGAATGTTTGAAGTGTTGAACTGAAGAAGTATGTCTTAGAATACCTCAGATGCATTGAAAGTAAGTCCTGTACTCTATGACTAGGAATGGAGGTCCTTATTTCAAGTCAGATATTTGAAGCACAGACCCCTGAATGTGAGAAAATGCCTACATCAAATGCTTAATGGGACTTAGCGCTCCTATTTTGACTGGTGATGGAATTATGTATTTTCTTTCCCATCTTCAGCCAGAATAACGACAGCTTTCTATTTATTAGAAAATATTTGTCACATTTTGCCATGTATGCAAAATGGGAGGGTGGGGAGGCAGGAGAAGTTTAAAATTGTTCTTGGATTTTATAATGCCATTGAGACACAGACCAGACATAGATGTCTTTGTCTATTCTTGAGATCCTAAAGGAATGCTTCTCAAACAATGACCTATTGCAAATCTGTACATTTTTCTTCATGATACAGGAAAGATCTGTGGTAACTGGTGGTTTATGTGAACAGAGCTAGTTACTAGTGTTTATGGAACACCTGTCTTAGCTACCCTGTTTCCCCGAAAATAAGACAGTGTCTTATATTAATTTTTGCCCCTAAAGATGTGCTAGGTCTTATTTTCAGGGGATGTAATATTTTTCCATGAAGAAGAATATGGTACACATTTACTGTTTTATTAAAAGAGACCTCGCACTTCCTGTCTACTCTGGCTGTGCTGCGGCCAACAGTGAGCTCCGCGACTGTGCCCGCCGTTATGGTCCAGAGTCACGTTAGCTTTGGAGGGCCTTATCTTCAGGGAGCTCTTATTTTCAGGGGATGCCTTATATTTCAGCGAGAGGCAAAACTAAGTGGGTCTTATTTTCGGGGGATGTCTTACTTTTGGGGAAACAGGGTATCTATTTGTTGCATAACAATGTATCTCAAAGTTTAGGAGTTTAAAACAACAAATAGTTTGCTAACCTACAGTTTCTGAGGGTCAGGATTCTGGGACGCAGGGTTAGTAGGGTGCCTGTAGCTCATGGTCCCTCATGAAGTTGCAGTCAGGCTGTCAGTTGGTGCTGCTGTCTCAGTGAAAATGCTTGAACGGGGCTGGGGGGTGAATTTGTATGATCGCTAGCAGGATTCCATTCTTTATTGCATGGGCCTCTCCAAAGGGTATCTGACATGTAGCCAATTTGATTGTGGTTTTTTGTTTTGTTTTGTTTTGTTTTCAGATTAGACAGGCAAGTTTTATCATCAAATGAAACTTCTTACAAAAATCCAGTAATGTTTATCTTTCAAAGATTTGGTCAGACATTATCTTAAGGCGTCAAATAGAAAGAATTTTATTCTAAGTGCCAGTTTTCATAGAAAATAGTATTTGGGGGTTGTCTTTTGTTTTGGTTTAACAGTTATTTCCTCACTGTTTAGGAAGCTATTCACTGCCATCAAGTCAGTTCTGACTTACAGCGACCATCTAGGACAGTAAACAGGTAGCCCCTGTGGGTTTCTGAGATTGTAACACTTTTTTTTTTAAATTGTAACACTTTACAGGAGTAGAAAGGCTCATCTGTCTTCTGCGGGAGTGGCTGGTGGTTTTGAAATACCACCTTTGCTGGTTGTATCCCAGTGTGTAAACTAAGTCAGGTCTAGGTCTCTAAAGCAGTTTCCCAAAGTGCATGATACTGCCCCCTGCAAAGGGTGTCGTAGACTAAGTAAGTTTGTATATACTAGAGGAAAGCTTTCTTTCTTTGTTGGCTTTGAGGGAAAGTTGTCTCTTTAGCTTCTGTTTCTTGACTTATTGGAACTTTCCAAGTGGCTTGCCATCTAACATCCCCCCATCTCTGCTTGCTTAATCTGTTCTTATTATCTCTATATTAAACCTACTTCATTAGCATAACAAAATGCATTCCCATAGGGGGTTATAGTCATAGATATCAAGGTTAAGATTTACAGCAATATGGGGGGGACACAGTTCAATCCATAACATCCTACCCTTTGTCCTCTAAGTATACATGACCTTATAAAACACTCCATTGAGAATGATGAGCGAAACAAATGTGTAAAAGTGCTTGACACAATGGATGTATGTATGGATTGTGAAAAGAGTTGTATGAGCCCCCGATTAAATGATATAAAATAATAATAACTCCATCATTTCATACCCAAAGTCTTGAACTTCAGGAGAAAAAAATCTCATCTTCTGAATTATCTAAATCAAATGTGGATGAGATATTAGGTATATTTTATCCTTGAGCAAAAACCCTCTTCCTCTGTGAACCTGTGAAGTCTAGACTGTAAATTATGTATTTCTGAAGAACAGTGGTGGAAAGGCAGAAGGTAGACATGTCCATGGGATAGAGGGAAGGGAAGAAGGAATCAGAAGCACCAGCAAGGCTAGCCCAGGAGAACCATTTACATTGGCTTTCACGGCATGAAGATGGCCCTCTTTTCTTTGAGACCATCTGAGCAATGACCGTGATCCCTAATTGTGGGCTTGGAGGCCCCTGGGAGATGGTTGGTTTTATACGTTATAGGCTATTTGTATCACACATGGGTCATTGTAGGTTGGAACTGACAGGGCACACAAGCACAAAAACAATTTATACCATGGTAGAAAAATGGACAAAGTAAAGAATGAAGTAAAGATGAGTTTTTATGACTACAATTAAAATCGTCAGCCTGGGACTTAAGAAGCTTTGGGAAAAACTGGATGTTAGAATGCAATATTCCCGTGATCTTTGTATTAATTTTATCCTTTTTCTTTCTCTCCTGTTTAGGTTCTTTCATGATGAATGGATCCAGTGTGGCCAATACATCGCCCAAGGTACAATCCAAAGAGGACCAGGGGATGAATCTGCATGATGAGAAGGAAAACCCATTTGCAGAGTACATGTGGATGGAGAATGAGGAGGATTTCAATAGACAGGTAAAAGAGAGACCTGAAAGGCAAATGATGCCTGTAACTCAACAGCTGTACTACTTTCTTAATACTGACCATTAAGAGTGAATTGTACCCCAAAAGGCAGAGGTCTCATCTGAACTCTCCAAGAACCATCTTCAGCTGGTAAGAGAAGTGACATTGACAGTTCTTTTAAGGAAGAGAATATTCTGTGTCTGCTATACTGATGAGAAGAGGATGCAAGTGAAGATTGTGACGCGATGAGCCCCTGTCTAACCAAATAGCGTGTGTCCCACACTGTGATAGGCGTTCTCGGGTACAAGCCATGTGACGGAGTGACTGATGCAGAAGGGCCTGGCTCTTGGCTCCTTTGGGGCATGCTTGTTTACTGTATTTCTCTAGGGGAGCCACTCTAGGAGTTTCCTGGGGTTTACAGCAAATCAAGCTCTCCATGCACTCCAGGGTGTGTTTGGCTTTTGTGTTTCCCTACCTATTTCCCCTTGCCTTGATCTAGCCTTTGAATGAAAAATAAATTGTTGGAAGCATACACAATTTGAACTAACTTTGACAAATAACATCCCCCTGGCCCCAGTGACTAGCCTTTTGTTGGTGAGAACCAGAACCTGAGCTGTGAGTGTAGATTGGCATTTAGCATACTCGGAATGCAAGGGAAAATATTGGAACACCAGGATTGCAAAATTGGTGGCCAGGGATGGGGGGGTGGGGTGGGGGTGAGAGAAGGGTTGGGGAGGAGGCCAAAAAACAGAGAGAAAGTTGAGAGTTTAAAAATCCATATATACTTGCCACCGAGTCAATTCTGACTCATAGCAACCCTATAGGAAAAGGTAGAACTGTCCCTTTAGGTTTCCGAGACTGTAACTCTTGGGGAGGAGACAGTCTCATCTTTCTCCCACTTAAAAATGCATAGAACCAGAGAAGCTCTGACAGCTTTATCCTTGGCAGCTTCAAGGAATGTTATAAATATCAGGTTTTAAGAATGAGTTAAGCATTAGGCTGCTAACCAAAAAGTCTATGATACAGACCCAACTACTGTACAGAAGAAAGATAAGACAGACTGCTCTGTGAAGATTTGCAGCTTCAGACACCCTATGAAGCAGTTCTGCTCTGTCTTATATGTAGGGTTGATAAAGAGATAAGTAGGTGTTTGCACAAATTCCCCCAACCCTAATTTTAACAGGTAATACTAGCTTGGCAACTTTACTTTGAAACTGCTGTATGATATTCAAGTCAGAGGACTGACTATTTCAGAGAAGCCTTTGTTCCTAATCTGGTTGAGCAGCAGGGTTTAGGAATCTAGGATTTGACTATCAATCCTCCCTCCCTTATGTTGAACTGTAGTTTTTACCTGTCACCACCAATCCCATTAATAGCGGATTTTTCATGCATACTATACATCTTGAGTTGGATCTTAATGAGAAAGAAATTAATTACAGATAAGAGCTCTCTACACATGGAATCCAGGTCAGATAAACCCCTCAGGAGCAGAAATGGGAGTAGGGCTACCAGGAGGGTGGGGGAAAGTGAGGAGAGGAAGGGGAAACCAATTGCAATGATCGACACATAACCACCACCTGCCCCAGGGGGCAAACAACAGAAATGGGGGTGGGGGTGGGGGTGTGGGGAGACAGCAGTCGGCATAAGATATGAAAATAATAATAGTTTATAATTTATCAAGGGGTCATGAGGGTGGGAGAGGGGAGGAAGGGGAAAAAGGAGCTGATACTAAGGATTCAAATAGAAAGTAAATGTGTAGAAAATAATGATGGTAATGTATGTACAAATATGCTTGATGTTTGGATTGCTATAAGGGCCCCCGAGAAAATTATCTTAGAAAAAAAGACCTAAACCTAGGTGAGCCCTAACCAGGATAGTGCCACAGAGGCATCTAGAACCACAGTAAACTTTGTATGAACAAGAAAGACATCTCTGCTGTCTTTAAACTTTAACTGTCTCCCAGAGTCATCTTTGAACCAAATAGCAGTTCAGCATAAGTAGCAAAGAATGCTTACCTGGAGCATTGTACTCTTTGAAAGAATGATCTGTGTGGGATCAAGTAGTCAGGGGCCACTCCTAAGGTTAGATGAAGAGGTGAGGGTTAAAGCGCTTATTTTCACTGGCGGTAAAATCATTTGGAAAAGAACAGTGAGAAGGGTCGGCCTCACCCTGGGAGAACATAATCAATGTCTCGGACTTTGGGGAAAAAATGATTAAATTGCTATCTGCTGTAAAATTTAAGAAAATTCTAGCTAGCACCAGCCACTCTGTGGGAGAAAGTTGAGATTATTTGCTTCCATAAAGGTTATAGCTTTGGAAGCCCTACGTAAGGTTGCAATGAATTGGAATCAATTCGATGGCAGTAGGTTTAGTTTCTGGTTAGATACCCTGACACATTATCTTCTGACTTACTGATAAAATACTTCAGAAACAATTTACAACACATCAAACTAAGACGATACTGTTATTATTCTCCCTGACTCAAACACTGATAGAAGACCTTAACATATAGTTATTCATTCACAACTATGATTGAGCCAGATAATTACTGAACTAGCTGCTTAGATCATTTCAGTAAGTAAAGCATATGACTAGAGTATGTGTGGTCTTGATTTAATTGACACATATGTGTACCAAACTCTGCATTCTATGAATGGCAAACCAATTATTACTTTACTATCCGAGAAGCATTTATAATACTTTGTCATTATAGAAATTTTTACAAATCTCCAAAAAAAAAAAAAAATCTCAAATTACTGTAAGGCACAAATTGTAGACTATATTGACTGGTCATAGATAATTAGAAACAAAAAAACCTTAATAAACTACTCTCTAGAAATGATAGAGACGGTCACAGCTATACTTAGGGGAAAAAATCATATTAAAAAATGTTCCTATCTAGCAAAAAGTAAGCTAGAAAGCTAATATAAGATCATACAAAGGTCTATACGGCTTGAGAATCACAGTGAGGAACACTTGCTACAGAGTCCTTAGGAATGCATTCCATAGCGAGGTCCCACTTACTGTGCACCAGGTACGGCATCAGAAAGCGCCCGCAGCCTGTGCTGTGTGTAGTCGGTGCACCCAGCGGTGCCTTCTCCCTGAGACTCCTTGCACCTCTTTAGCTCAAAGCAAGGTCAACCTGACTTAAAGCTCTCCTGAGATGACCAAGCAGGCAGACTGCGACCTGGAGAAAATTGAGAACAAAGCAGAACCCACTGTAGCCATGCGTCCCAGTGACCTCTCAGTCCTGCAAGCTCTCAAGAAGGCCCTGGTCCTGGACATGCAGGTGGACGAGCAGGCCAGCAAAGAAATTAGCAGCAAGAAATAGCCCCAGTGATGACGACAAATAAATTTGGAAATAATGGAAGTTTCCCACAAACTTTTTGAAGCCCCTTTGTATATCTATCACACAACTTTTGCCTGTTCAGTTATTTACAGGTTTAAGCCTTATTGGCAGCAATTATAAGAGTCTGTTTGCAAGTTAACACTCCATGATCCATGTAGTTTTCCCATCACCCCCCACCTCCCACTTTCTGCATACTGACCCAAGTAACCACTAATAAACTTTGATATCTTAAAAAAAAAAAAAAAATGCATTTTCCCCATTTATTTAAACATTTAAAAAGGAGGCCTGGTAGCATAGTGGGTTATGCACTGAACTTCTAGCCACAGTTAAGCAGTTCAAATCTACTAGACACTCCATGCGAGAAAGATGAGGCTTTCTGTTCCTGTAAGGACCTAAAGCCTTGGGAACCCACAGGCAGTTGTACTCTGTGAATCGGAATTGATCGCTGGCGGGGAGTTGAGGTTGCATTTGACTTTGGCTTGGACACTCCCCAAAGGAGCCCTGGTGACACAGCCCTGGTGGCACAGGGATTAAGTGGTTGGCTGCTAACTGAAAAGTTGGCAGTTTAGCCCAGGAGCCGCTCCATGGGAGACAGATGAGGCTGTCTGCTTCTGTAAAGATGACAGCCAGGGGAACCCGATGGGGCAGGTCTGCCGGTCCTACTGCTACCTGCAGCATCCCTTGCTTACTCTTCACAGCTGAAGAATTATCCTAGCTCGTGGAGGCATAGAGCAAGAGGGCACCTCTTGGCCTCCTTGTGGCTGGGCAGTAATTTTACGGCATTGACCACACTTTCAGAAGCTGAGGAAGAAAGGTGGCAGGATGCTGGCAGAGTTTTGAAATTGTTTTTATTTTTATTTTTCTCTACTTCAGATCCTGTAAATGAGTGTGCATTTTTTAAAGAGTGTTTTCTGGCTGAAGATACAATAGTCCCTATACTGTATGTCCACCCTTATGTGAATTAAAGTGTGCCCCAAGGAATGATGGCGATAAATGACTGGAAGATGAACACTGAATGGTAGAGTCAAACATCATAGTTTCTTCTCCTCCTTTTTCCCAAACTTTTATTATGGCAAAACTCTAAACTCAAAACTTATTGAAGAGAGTTCTATCTGGATGATAATATTTCCCTTTTCTATATATTTTGAAGATAAGAATTGGTAAGATTCATGATAAGATTAAGAGCTCACAGAAATAAGCTACATAAAAGTTTTGCTGGTCAGATAAAATTAAGCTCTGTTCCTAGAACATAAATCTCTGGTTTGTCCTCTCTTTTTGAAATGTTCTCATGGGAATTCTGTGAAGGGCTAAGGAGTGGCAGTTTGACACGTGAAGTGAGGTTGCTTTAATCTGATGCGGGCTGACTTCTGAGAAAGAGCAGCTGTGTGTGGCCAGCCGACCTGGCACTCCCAAGAGGGAACCCAAGGGCTGCAGGCTGTAAATCCAGACGGAGGAATGCATTAGGTAGGGCCAGGCTGGGCTGCTTCAACGCAGTCCGCAGTGGGTTTCTTACAGCTGTCATGTTAACAGCCCCTCTCTCATAAGCATTCCAGTTCCACAGTGGATTCTTCCACCCGGGGTATTTATCAGCTACACCCGTGAGAGATACTTAGGCACCTGGAAAGGGTTAGTAACAGTCCATTGATGAATAGTCTTATGCCATGTCCCCATACCAAACTCCAGACACACTGTCATCCAGTCAATTCTGACGCACAGCAGCCCAACAGGAGAGGGTAGAACTGTCCCTGTGGGCGGTGCCTGAGACGTATTTCTTCACTGGGGTGGGAACCCTCCTCTTTGTCCTAAGGCCTGGCTTGTGGATTCCAGTGGCTGGTTCTGCATTTAGCAGCCCAGTGCACACCCCGCAATACCACCTGGTGCCTACATCCCACCTGGCCTGGTTGATGCTTTGGAAAACTAAGAAAACAAGCTTAGGGGCTCGACCACAGTTCCTACCCAAAATGCCTTACTTTGAATAGCATATAGCCCATGACTTTAGTTACACCCATGGCCCAGGTTACTGTCTTCATCAGTTGTAGCATTGAGCAAGAATTAATATTTTGCTGTTATAAAAAAATACCTGAGGGGGCTTCAAAAAGTCCTTGGGAAAGGTCCATTATCTTGTAATTCCATCTTTCTATGAATGTTTTGAAGTCCTGCTATAGGACAACATTTGCCAGCCCAGCATTCTTTCAGGTGTTCAATCTAGTGTTTTCAGTTACATTGACCATGTAACTGAACCCATTATCAACATTAAACAGATGGAATTTATTTTTATTTGAACACAGATTTAGTAAGGGAGTAAGTAAGCTGTTTGCTCTTGGAGAAAGGGAAGATCTTGAACATTCATGTTAAATCATGTGACTTGGAAACTTATTTTTTATTTTAAGTATTTCATGACTTTCAAATACACTGTCCTTAAACCTTGCTGCCAGTGACTCTTCATCAGAACTTATGAGGCATTTATTTTGGATAATTTCTTTAAGCTATAGCAAATATATATGTAACAAAATATTTGACATTTCAATACTCTTCACGTGTACAGTTTAGGGATATTGCTTATGTTCAGCATGGTCAGCCATCACTGAGTGAGTGTCGTTTGCTTGACCTCTCCTCTGGTGGTGGTGCTAGTTAGCTGTGACACTGCCACCAGGTAGGTGTGAGGAGGGCAAATGAGGAAGCAAGAAGCCTGCCCTAAGTCACACTAAATCTGCAGACTGAACCATATTCCTATAATCATGTTCTCTACTAAGAGTCATCAGTACATGTGTGAAGGAGCACAAAACATTTTAGGCATAGGTTGTTTTCATTTAAGGCAATGCAGTGAGGAACTGGTGGTGGTGTGGGTTACGAGGTGGGCTGTTAACCCTGAGGTCAGCAGTTCAAACCCACCAGCAGCTCCATGGGAGAAAGACGAGACTGTCTGTTCCTTGGCAATCCATAGGGCCTGTTTTCCTCTGTCCTATAGGGCCACTATGAGTCCGAGTCAACCTAATGGCAGTGATTTTAGGAGATGTAGAGCTGTTTCAATAGTTATATATTTCTTGTTTTGAAAGAATACTACATCTAGTTGTCATTATCTGGTATGCCAAAAAGGATTTTTCAATTCTTTCTAAGATTCTGAAAGTTATTTTTTCCATGGGGTCCACGTTATCAGAACTGTGGGCGCTGGAAGCTGAGCATGAGCTCTTTCTTTAATCGGGAAAGAGTCCTGGAGGTGCTGAGGGATGTGGTTGGGCTGATAACCACCAAGTCAGTGGTTCAGACCCATTAGCCACTCAGAGGTAAAGCTGTCTGTTTTCACACAGATTTACAGTCTTGGAAATCCTAGGTTACTATGAGTTGGAAACAACTTGGTCACAGTGGGTTATCCATGTATTGAGCTAGTTACATGGTCACAGGCTTTTTTAATCATTCATAAAATGGCCGCTTCCTGATCCGGTGGGCTTGGTCCGGGAGGCCAGACATGAAGATCACGAGGCAGAAACACACCAAGAAGCATCTCGGCTTCTTCCACATCAATTTCGGAGTTCGCGAGCCCTACCAGCTGTTGCTCAATGGCACCTTCTGTCAGGCGGCGCTGCGGGGCCGCATCCAACTGTGGGAGCAGCTGCCCCGCTACCTCATGGCCGAGACGCAGCTGTGTACCACCAGGTGTGTGCTAAAGGTGTTAGAAACGCTGGGAAAGGAATTATATGGGCAAAATTGATTGCATAGAAATGCCAAGTTCGACATTGTCCCCATTTCAAGAATGCAGTGAGTGGATCCGAATGCCTGCTTTCCATGGTTGGATCAAAATTTGTCAGTGAAAATCAAAAGGCCTGGAATTCCTCTCCTGTTCATTATATAGAACACGATAGTTCTGGACAAACCTTCTCCTAAAACCATTGCCTTCGTTAAAGCGGTTGAGGCAGGTCAGCTTGTCTCCGGGCATGAGAAGCAGAGCATCCAGGAACTCAAAGGAGAACAGGGGCTAGCAAAGAAGCCTGAGCAGAGGAGGAGAAAGCACAAAAAAGTCAGTGGCCCCAATCCTCTTAGCTGTCTGAAGAAAAAGAGAAAAAAAAACAAGATAAAAAACCATCTTCTGCTTCTGAAAAGAAAAGAAGAAGAATCCAGAACACAAACTCCTCCAAAAAAGTGCTTTTGGAAAAACTGAATGCAGAAGGGTAACAACTCCTGTGGATTCTTAAAAAGACTTTCAAATGTAAAAAAAAAAAAAAGTTGTGGAAGTGTACTTGTCATAAAAGACAAACCTTTTTATAAAGGAGCCTGGGCCCATAAGCCTCTGCCTACAGTTATTTGTAAAATAAAGAGTGAATGGCTTCAGGTGGGACATTATTCACTTTTCTTACCGAGTGATTTTGGAAATTGGTTTTGAAGCCAAAACAATTATCTGTACCTCCCCAGCCCCATTATTCTACAAATAAAGTAGTTATTAAAAAAAATTCATAAAATGGGAAATTTAGGAATGATGCTTCTTAAAATCAAGAAAAGAATTTCTCTCATGATTTTCCCAAGTGCTAGGTGAGTGGAAAATATCTGTATTGTATATTAGAGACCTGGAAGACCTACCTATTCCTCAGTCTTATTGTTGATAGAATTTGGTTATGAAAATCAAAACAATTTTCTCTGATCAATCATTAGAAAAAAAGCATCTGTATTCTTAGTAGATATTATACAAGATCATTCCTAATTGCCGAGTAATAACCTCAGGAGAAAGGTGGGGGGAAAACTTGGAAGGGGTGTGTCTCACTGGGACAGTCCATCTGAGCTCCTCCCCTTTCTCGCCAGGTGGAGGAAGAGCTGCAGGAGCAGGACTTCTTGGACCGTTGCTTCCAGGAGATGCTGGATGAGGAAGAACAGGACTGGTTCATTCCATCACGAGACCTGCCTCAGGTCATGGGGCAGTTGCAGCAGCAGTTAAATAGTCTTTCAGTTGGCGACAGTCATGAATCTGAAGACATTTTGGTAAGTGCCATCCATCTACGGTTCCGCATACAAGTGGAACTGGGATTAAGAATACAAATGGGAACACTGAAGAGGTTTGGTTTCAAAGGACCGCTTGCTGCTGTCATCCCCTTTTACTAACTCCCAAATCTATATTTAATAGAGTTTTAAATGTTATAAAAGTTGTCTGCTGAGCTAGAAAGGAAACGAACTCCTGAGAGCCCCTTATCCACTGGGAAGGCATGCTAGGTTAGCTTTCTTCTTCCATATTTGTTGTGTCCTCACACAACACCTGTTCTGAAAGTTTGTGCCCTGCAGTTTGGATGTTTACATGAGCGTATATAGACAAAAAGGTGAGTACAGACAGGTGAATGAAATATAGGGATGGTGGCGACCAAACTGGTTTGATGGAATACTCTTGACTTTCATTAGGGTAAGGTACTCAGTGAATTGAAAGATTTTTTGTGGAGTTAAACTTACAGGCCTCCGAGGAGAATTTGTAAGCCTCCTGAAGGAACAGGAGTCAAAAGTAAGGAGCCTTTGTGAGGAAGGAACTCTGCCTGTGAGTGCCGTACCGCCCGATGGGCAGAGAATCTTCTCTCTCTCTCCCTGAGGCTGAAGGGAAGATACTGGAAGCAGGGAGAAAGTACAATAAATGACCTAATGTACAACTTCCTTTGGGATTTATGATCTCTTGATTGTTCTTTCAGAGCAAAAGTAACCTGAACCCAGATGCCAAGGAGTTTATTCCAGGAGTGAAGTACTGAACTGACACAAAACTTAAGAAGGACCTGTATGTCCCCAAAGCTGGGGACTGTGCTGCACAAAAAGGAGGAGCTGAAGACGGGTGGGCGGGGAGGGGTGTTCATAGGGGCAGGGGACAGTGTTTTAACTCCATGACTTGAGTAACTAATGTGCTTCGACGGAGCCTGCGAGCCTGCGAGGATTGCTCTTTTGTTCTACTGCCTTTCATGGGGAGCAGTTTCCTTTATTTTTTATATATTTAATTCTTTTGAGTTAAGGAAATTGCCATCATTTCCCCTCCCTTCATGGAATATCTGCTATGTGTGTTTAAACAAATAAGCTGACCAAGAAAAGCTGGGTGTTTGAGAAATGCCTGCTCACCTTGCTGTATACTTCGAAGGACCACGACCACCTGGAGAACTGCTCGGGACGTTTGCTAAGCGGGATGGAAAGAAAAGATGGGCAAAGCAATATGCGTCGCACAGCTGCCATGCCCTAGACACGAGGAACTGAGACCACCAGGAGCCTGTCAAGCCCACTCCTCGCCTTGCACCCCTGTCTAAGGAAACACAGTCTTAAAGTCCTCATTTATGTAGAGCTCCCATGGTTGGTCACAGTTGTAAATCAGAGGCAAGGGCTGTGATGGTGGTGGTCACTGGAATCATCAATTACTGTTGTCCTACCTGTAAGCCTTTGTTTAAACTCCCATCAGATGCATCATTTATAGGGTAAAGAGCACTAGGCCACCTCATCTTTCAGAGCGTCTGTACACCGGTCTCCTGGCTGCTCCACCCTTACTCCACTTGGTTACAAAAAGACATCATTACGAAAGCTGTCTGAGAAGCGAGCTGTGTTGGCCATCACCTTGAACCTGTTACTTGTTCTTAATTTTATTTTGTGCAATTTAGGTTTTTCCCAGTGCCCTAAACCCTTGGTCCCCTTGGTATCTTCATTCCCTCAGAAAAGTTTTATGCGTTTTTTACAAGTAACTATTTCAGGACATTGCAAGAAGTTCAGTTGACAGTTTGAGACCTTCTCCTCACGCTGTAGAGGCATGCAGACGAACTCCAAAAGCCTCGACAAAGAATCACAAGGCCTGTCATTGTCACGATAGATTCAACTATGATTCTTCTTTGTAGTCCCCATGTTTCCTGCTTTGCAAGCTTGTTAGTCAAGGTCTCTGGGTGCGTTCCATTTGTCTTTCCTGCCTGGAACTCCCTGGGGTGGTTGTTGGTGTACTCATAAGGAACTAAACTGGCTACTAGGAGCTGCCTCTGTGCAACCAGGATATAGGTGGTAGAGTCATGTCTGCAAGAGATCGGGTCTAGTCCGGGCTGTCCTGGGACTTGCAGGAGCTCGAGGGTAACTGTGGTGTGTGGCTGGTAACGGCACTGTGTGGCAAGCCTAAAAGGGAATGGCCACACAACTTGAAGTCTTTTGTAAATTTGGCATGTGGGTGTGAGACGGAGGTTGGAAGGAAAGGACTGGGGCTAACTGAAAGCTAAAAAAAACAAAACTTGGTTTTCTTATGGGTTTCCTTGTTGATTTTTTGGACAGCCACAAGTTGATGTCATATGTAAAGTATGAATCTTTTCCTCATTTGAATCTTTAAGGTACCGTCATGACTTGTAAGGTCATATATCATAGGAGACTAGCTTGGGGAGCTTGTATTCCCAGACAAACACATTGATTCCTCAAGCATCTACCTCAAGAGAACGGTGGAACCTTACCTCTCTTTCAGAGAAAATTGCTAATGAACGACATCATCCCCTCCTCTAATAGAAGCGCAGACATAGAGGCCTCTCTCTCTTGGGCTGCTTTTCCTCCCTCAGTCTTTATGAGGCTGCTCATCCGCAGAATTCTGAATACTGCTGGCAATGTGCTGACAGGCTGTACCTTCTCAGGCTGTGGGGGTGTCCATTGTGAGTGCAGCAGGTTCTGTGGCCGCCCCAGCTGGCAGTCTGGCAGGGATCCAGTCTGGTGTCTCTTCCCCCGGAGGAGGCCACTCACCGTCAGCAGGGTAGGCTGGGCAGCTGGGTGCGTGATGTCCTTCACCAGGTCCTGGATCCTTCAGAAGTAAGTGAGACACTTCTAAGGGGTAGGACTTGTGCAAAACGTGGTTCATTCTTGTAGCCCAACTCTTCTCCACCTGTTCTGCGTTGTGGGTTGAGAGCAGGATTACTACCCAGATCAGACTCCGCGATAATTTGCATTTGTCAATTTCTTAGCCTAAAATGTGTTTGAGATTTGTTGACCTTTCACCAAGGAGAGACTGGGCGCCTCAGTGCGTCTGACTTTTCCTCATGGGAGAGGTTCCAAGTGCAGGTTGGGCTCAACACCTTTGCATGTTAGTGTTGAGACAGCTATTGATTTATGAGTGATGGTTTTCCTGTGGAATTCAAACCACTACATTCAAACGGTTTTTTGGGTTTTTTTTTGGCAAGGAGAAGTTTGAGGATTGGTATAGAAACGGAGCTGTCGTAATAGTGGCCAGGTCTGGCTGGTCGCGGTATAGTTAATAAGTGATTGGTTTTAGATTATTATGATTAGTTGGCACAATCTTCAAGATAGAAATTATTTCACCTCTTTCTTTTCAAGAGGTGGAGGCTAGAAATGCCTTTCCCATTTCTTCCGGCCTTTTTAACTTAACTACAGCAGACAGACGGATGATGCATGGAGGCATCCCAGGCTGTGGCACTGAAGGGCTGGACCCTCGAAGCAGCATCCGATTGCCACAGTGAGCTCCTGAGGGCCAGAGAGCGCAACCAGAAGCCAGCCCAGGACAGGGCCGGACCATTGCAGCGCCTTTCACTTCCAAAGCAGAAACCGCTGGGTCTTTGTCAGCTGCCAGTGTTACCTGTCTTAAAATAAAAGTGGTTTGTTTTGGGTTTTTTTTTTCATGAAATACGAAGAAGCTTCTGTATTGCTATAATGTCAGAGCTTTGATTGATTTCGGAGAGGCTGAGAGAGTTGGTTGGTTGAATATGCTGGCAAGTAGTGGCACATGTCAGAGAGGAAAGTTGTGTGACAAAGCCAAAGGGAACGGCCCGCCTGGGTCTTGGGGAGGAGTGCTGCTGCAGACACTGTGCAGGGAAATGGCTCCTGCCCGAGACATTGTTGAGAGACCCACCTAGCAAATGTAATCAAGACTTGGGATGTCCCTCTCTCAGAGAAGCCTGTGTACGCCTAGCCACTCTTCGCTGAGACAATGCCAGCCAACCCTGTCGCTTTGAGAAGTGGGTGGAGAGAAAGGAGAACCAGCCCTGGTTTGGCTCTCCTGCCTCTTCCCTCAGCGCCCCCAGGAGAGCCATCTCATCGCTTCTTGACCATGTAGCCCAGGATTGTGCTAGTCCCTCCGTCCTGTGCAGCGCAGGGAGTACGTTCATAGCCACGGCTCTGTAGCCCTGTGGTGGCGACTGTCATTCTTGGTGAGTCACCATGGTGGAAAGGTTTTGTTCCTATCCCTTGGCTTTTACTCCTCCCTCTGTACTTCTCCCTCTGTACTCCCAACTTTCAGCCATTATTGCTGACCGGGACACAGAAGACCTGAGTCCTGGCCAGCACCCACTGCTGTTCACAGCCAGTCGGAGTTGTTGAGGGGCGACAGGAAGAGGCCAGCCGCATACTCATCTCTGCGTGCTCTCAGCCAAGAGACCCACCTCCAGGGCACGGGAGAGAAAGGCAGCACACCTCTTTATTTCTGCCCTTAGATTGTGTTAGTTACTCGGAGTCTTCATTTCTAAGTCTTCAACACTGAGCTTTCCCCCCCCAATTCTGCTTTCCTTTTGCTTAAAAAAATAATACTAAAAAGAAAACAAAAATACCAAGATCATATTAACATTTTCACTTTGTAAACCCACAACTCAGTGATAATTCTGTCCTGTTGACTGAGCTCTCGGAAATGCTTGACCGCTTCATGCAGGTGGCTTGGAAGGCAGGAAGTCTTTTTTTTTTTTTTTTTTCCAAGACCGCTTTCTTGAGGTATATTTTACATATAGAATTCGTCCATTCCAAGTGTACCATTCAGTGATTTTGGTGACCTTGCTGTAATGCAGCTATCACCATAACTCGGTTTCTGAACATTTTCAAACACTCTGGTTCTACACCACCTCCCACCACCCCACCATAAAGGCACTCTGCCCATTTATACTCATTCAGGTTCCACCTCCAGCCCCAGCCAGTCACTAATGTACCGTCTGTAAATTTGTATTTTGTGGACAAAACCATACATGTAATCTCTTTTGCCTGACTTCTTCCACTTAGCATAGTGTTTTTGAAGTCCATCCACATTGTAATTTAGGTCGGTAGTTTGTTCTTTTCAGTTTGCCAGCAAGGAAGTCTTTACGTTTGGAGGCAGCCCGCAGAAGAGAGCTAGGAGAAACAGCTGCCTCGGAACCAGCCTTTCCTCTTCTGGAAGCTCAGTTTGAGGAGCTTGAACTGATGCAGAAACTTTTATGATTTTGCTTTTTTATAAGGCATGTTTGTGCCGTCTACACATCCGGACTTTTTGAAGCAACCGATAAGTCATTTAATAAGTATGAGCATGTGCTTCAATGGACAAGAAACAAACCTTCCTGTTCCCTTGGATTTGTTCCCTCCTCCAGGCTGGATGGGGCAATCAACCCTAAATGCAGCAGCACATCTCCATGCAGGTAGCAGAAGGGAGCGGAGCTTGTGGTGGCAGCTCTGTGCCACCAGCAGGGCCTCACCCGGGTCTGGATCTCTGTGTCACTAAAGCTGCTGCCATTCTTTTCCTGCTCAAGTGTTACCTGGCAGTTATTAGCACGACTTTGGAGGAGGAACAGGCCTTTACATTTGAAATAATTTTCAAAATATATCAAAAATGGAAAAAGTTTTATTTTTTTGCTATATAAACCAAATGGCAGCTGTTCAAAGTCTCAATAAAATGAGAATAAAACACATTTGCTCACTGTGGTGATCTTTTTCTTAAGATTGGGTCATTCGGTCAAACAGGTGTGTGTGTACGTGCGTGCCTGTGCTCACACTCACGTGCAAAAGGCTTTTTCGTTGTGAAAACTCAGAGCATTGGAAAGGAACATAATTTGGATCCCTCGACAATGCCAAAATTTCTGTTCTGACATGGTGTAAATTGAGTGCAGAATTCTTTGGGAGAGATGGAAATGCCATCTTCAGAAATGTAGATGTTGAGAAATAATAGCTTCACATTCGGATGTTTTTGTACCGAAGGTCTCTATTGTAACAAACTATTACTTACTTTTAGAATCGCATCTTTTGAGATATGATTTATTCATGTTTATGTAACTTTTCATTGAATATTTCACAGAAAAGCAGTTCCATGAATTTTCACCAACTCAATCGGTGAGCATTTTAGTCCTTAGAGCACCTATCACACCCAGCAGACCTCCGATGTGTTTGTGCTGAGTGAATGGTACAGATCCGCCAGTGCTGTTCTTGGGAAGTCCAGTGGCCGCCACGTCACAGGGCCGTGTGCGATCAGAGATGATTGTATACATAAACTATTTCATTGGGGGACGGAAAATAGGTTAAAACTCATTAACATCACTTAAGGCCTTCTGTACCTCAGCTGCTCTCTCAGCCTCAAGAACTGGAGAACAAGCTGCTTCGGAACGAGGTCCGGGGTGATGCCTTGTTTTCCAGTGTGAGACCCATCAAGATGTGTTCCTTACTCAGCTCCCAAACTGCTTTCGAATTCGACCTTGACGATGGATGATTAAGAAGCATAATGGCTGGATCTTGAGGATTAATTGTCTTTGGCATTTGTAAGTTCCACTTTTTAAGGTCATGGCTTGATCCTGCCTTCCAAAAAACCCAAACCAAACACACTGTCATCAAGTTGATTCTGACGTATGAACTATATAGGACAGGGCAGAACTGCCTCTGGGTTTCCAAAACTAAAAGCTACGGGAGTAGAAAGCCAGTGCCATTTCTCCAAATCTATTTATTTGAATTCAAACAAGCAGTATTACTACAGATTATGCAATAAAGGTACTTTTTGACTGCACGTGCCTGGTTCCGGTGATAAATGGAAGTGTAGGTGGTTGACTGTCCCTTCAGCAGGGACTTCAAGTTTTTGTTGCTCAACCGTCTGACTTCCTGGGCTGAGCATGATGGGCTAAGAGTTATTGCCATTCTGTTCAGGATGAATGTGTGAGGGGAGAGGGTAAGTAACACACAAGACTCCCTTGAGGCGTTCATCTCTACTCGAAGCAACCCCTACCACAATTACCCATAGGACTTAGTAGAAATGGAAACTCCCCTTCCCACCTTGGGCCTACACTAAATCCACATAGGGATTTAGTCTTGGGACAGGGCACACAAATCTGAGTTTAAGGAGTGTAAAAACTAGTCTCTGGGGCATGACCCAGCCTGCCAGGAGTGTATAGTCGGCATGGACCAGGCTGGTCTTCAGTCCACCACAAAGTACAGGCAGAATAGGAAGCTCTGAGCCTCTTAGTCAGATGCTGGTGCCCAGACCATTGTTCCTGGTGCCACACATCGTGGCATGCTTTAGCCAAAGCCAGGCTGGCAGTAGCCAGGAATAGGTAGGCCACCTAGATCAGTTATGCCTAATTGGTTGCCTTTGATCTCAGTAATCTTTTATCATCTTTCAAGAATTCATGCAGTTAATAAGCTTCCAGATGGGCAGTTCACTGCTCACCAAGTCAGGTTCAAATTGGAAATGCACCCTCCACCCTCATTTCCAATTATCCCAAACTATGGATAACCTTGAGAAGAAGGGGAATTCCTGAACACTTCGTTGTGCTTGTGAGGAATCTACATGGATTCTGTACAAGAGGCAGTTGTGTGAACAGAGCAAGAGAATACTGCCTGGTTTCAAATCAGGAAAGGGGGTGTGTTGATGGTCCCTGACATCACCACAGGAGAGGGGGGCCCAATCCCCTAGCGATTCCCCGTGACATTTTCCACGAAGTTCTACTGGACAAGGTTGGGCAAGGAAAACTCCGACAGCAGAAAATCAAGAACGCGGATTGGTGGGCAGCCGTACAGTAGGGGGCTGTGGGGACAGGGGAGCCCAGATAGTGGGGCTGCTCCTGTGCTGCAGCCACAGGCCCCGCCCTTGGGGAGGGGCTTGAAGGCCTGGGCCCAGGCTATTCTAAGCCCTGGGTTGCCAGGCCAGCGCCCTGAGGATGTGCACAGGAAGTGGGCTGGGTGACGCTGTCCCACTGGGGCACTTATTTCCTTTTGTGTTCCTTTGAAAAGAAAATGGGAGACAACCTCCCTTCCCACACTCCACAGTCCACTGGGCTTGGATGGACTGGGGTCCTAGCCCTGAGCCCCCTAAGAGAAGTTGTGGGAGTGGAAGGCCATGGCATTGACGTTGTAGTCCATGGGGAGCTGGTGCCCGATGTGCCTGGCCCCGAGGCTGGCCCCGCCCAGGGCCGAGGAATGTCTCAGCTTCATCAGCGTGAAGCCGGAGAAAGAGGTCTGAGCCTGGCTCTCTCGGCCCCGGGTCAGCACCGAAAGGAAACCTGAGGAGAGATGCAGAAGACAGAGGTGAGTGGAGCCCAGAGGCAAGGGAGAGAGGAGGTCTGGGCCCCGGGCCCTCTTGTGGTCCTGGAGGGGCCCCATGCCAACTCCCTAACACAGGGTGCACCAGGGCACAGGAGTCCCAGAAGCAACTGGTGGAGCCCCCGCCAGTGCAGATCCTGGATCAGTGGCCCTAGACTCCCTGCCAGGACTAAGGACTCATGATCACAGGTCATCACATTGGTCAGAGACGGGTTGTAAGAGAGGTCTTTTAACATTTTTTTAAGAGGTTCTATTTAATAAATCGTTTGGAAAAGATCAGCTTTTCAAGAGTCTGGAAGCTGGGGTGGGGGGCGCTGTGCGATTGAGTACTCACACATGGAAGGCCGAGAGCCTTGGCCATTAGTCCATACCCTCGGGCTCCAGCCTCTTGCTGGGAGCAGGGCCTCCTGCCCAGCTCCAAGCTCTCCCTGGGCAGGCAGGCCTTCCAGGGCTACCTCCTTCCCAACCCCATCTCCCAGTCCTCCTTTCCTCTCTGCCGCCTCCACCCAGACTCACCTTCCTTCAGCAGCTCCCAGCTCTTCCACACAGAGCCTACGCACAGGATGGGGAGGCCGGTCTCCCCTTGGAACAAGACCTGGGCGGAGGGCACATGATGGACACTGAGTGCCGACTTCTCCAGGAGTTCCTGGAGACCAGCCCACTGTCGCATCCCAGGTACTGTCCCCTGAGCCAGGACCCAGAAGGTGGGCTCGAACAAACGTGAGAACGCACTGCTAGCGGGCGGATTCAGACTCGTAGCCCCTGGGGACAGACTAGAACGGCTCCATTGGGGTTCCAAGGCCGTCAGTCTTGCGGGAAGCAGATAGCCTCGTTCTCCTGTGGAGGAGCCTCACAGGTGGCAGTCCAACATTTAACCTGATGTGCTACCAGGGCTCCCAAGGAAGGCTCAAGGGAAGGGAAAAGGAGAAGAAAGTCGGGGGGGATCAAAAATACTGGGGAAGGAAGAGAATGGGAAAGGGGACAGGAAACAACGTGGAGGAAGGAAAGAGGAGGGCGGGGTGGACAGGAACAGGAAAGAAGGAGCTGCGGCGTGGGCAGCGTGTAAGACTAGGGCTCTGGGTCCTGCACTGAATATAGGCCAGGGCCACCCACAGGGGAGCCGCTGGACCCAGAACTTTTTAATGCGGTAGCCTTTCTACCGATTTTTTCTCCTATTCTCGGTTCATTTACACTAGCATTCGATGGCCCAGGGTTAGTAGCCTCAGTCCTGTCCCTCATGGGAAAGGACCAAAGCCCGCCCAGCACCTCCCACCCCCACCGCCACCTACCGGGTGGATCACAGGCAGCACAGCCACCACGTGTCTGCCCAGCATTTCCCCAGCTTTCCTGAAGATGTACCTGGAGAGGGCGTCTCCCTGCTGGGCCCCTGGGGTGGGAGGGAGAGAGGCAGGTGAGGGGCCTGGCCGGCACCCAGGGAGCTTCTGGCTCTGTTGCCAACAGCACTCCTGGCTAACCAGAAACCACACCCCTGCCAGGGCCAGCCCCTGGCTCTGAGTGGAGGCTTCCCTGCAGGAGACCAGCAAGCCCCCAGGGAAGCCACCCTCCAGGGCCTCATGCCAGGCACTGGGGACCCTCATGAGAAGGGTGCACTGCCCCCTGGCTTGTTCTCCAGCTGGCACTGTTACTGAGGGTCTGTCCTCAGGACCCCTCAGTTCTGGGAGTTCCTGGAGGGACCCAGCCTGAGCGGCTGCACTGTGAGTCTCCCCCAGCCCCCCACTGCTCACTATGCCGCAGAAGGGGCAGAGCAGGCCCTGGTGGGGAGGGCCCCTAGGTGGTAGCCATCCCAAACAAGGGTGAGTATGGCCCTGATGGTGCAGAGGGAGCAACATGCAGGCCAGCAACCCCTGCGTTCTGCTTGTCCTGACTCCCAACAAACAATTCTCGGAACTTCTCCAGGACCCCTTACTTCTTTGGGTGTAACAGAATGACAGCTCCGCCCCAGGGCCATGGCACCAAGGGCAATGCTCAGGAGTGTGGCTTCCGGCTCCCATCCAAACCCTCCAACTGGGGAGGCCTCCAGGGCGCAAAGCCCCATAAGACCCTGCCCCGCCTCGCCTCTGGTACCTTCTGCAATTTTCTGGCAAAATCCAGCAAACCGGCCTTTATCAAAGTCCCGATACAGGTGGGTGAGGATTCCTAGCCTGTCTGACACCTGGGGAAGAGAGAGAGAGAGAGAGAGCGTGCGAGAGAATAGATTATCAGAATGCCCACTGTGGTAGTTACGTAATCTGGTGTCAATTTGGGACTTGAGAGGATTGAGGGTGAAGGGGTGGAGTCTAGTCTGTCAATTGGGTCATTGCCAATGAGGCCTCTGTGTGGGCATGGCCTCCTGAGGATTCTGGGAACTTCTGTATTTCCACCTTGGAGGCAGGAGACTCTGCTCAGTCCTTGCGAGATATTTCTGAGAAGCCACATGAAGCTAGGCAGTCAGAGTTTCGGAGCTAAAGGAACCATGTGGACAGCCCTGCCAATGCTGAGATGCTTACAGCACCACTGGATCCACAAGACTTCCCACCCACTGGCCTGTGATCTTCCTGCACTCGGCATCATTGCATGTGTTTTGTGAGTCTGAAGAGGAATTTATAGATAGGTACCGGGTATGTGGGCTAATATTGGACTTATGGACTTGATCTGGATTGGGCTGGGATGTTTTCTCAATATTCAACTGCTCGTGTGTATAAAGCTCTTTCATATACACATATGCATGTCCCTGGATTTGTTTCTCTAGCCTCCCTGGACTAACACACCCTCCCCCGGCCAGCCTTCCTGACGGGACTAATGGAAGAGCTGGAATCGGTTTTCTTTACGTCTCGAGAGTGCAGGGAGCGAGCTTTCTCACGAGAAGGTCTTGGTTTCTTCAGTGCAGCGAGGACCGCACAGCTCCTTACCGATGACCCGTGGGGCAGCTCCGTGTGTCTCACAACTCCTTCAGGCGCTCTCAGAAAGATTTCTTTGGCCAAGGAGTTTGAGGGCCACTGCTCTTGACCACCCCCACCCCACGCCCACCCCCAACCTTGGAGTTGCAATGCACATTCGCTAACTAAAGGCCCTGAAAAGTCTTGCAACCTAGAACTCATCTGTTTCTCCCAGCAGGCCTGCTTTGCCCACCCCGGTGATAGTACACCCCACAACGCCTCAAAAGGTCCCAATGAACCAGTGAACCCCTGAATACATTTCTGCAAGTGGAAGGGGAGGCTAAAGTGTGAGCACCAACACCGGTGTACTAATGCATGTTTTATACGCAAGCGTTCACTTACTGTAGGGCAACCCTGGAACTTGGAAAACAGCCTGAGAGATGGAAGTGGTGGTGATAACACACTATGAAAGGCGTTTAGAAGCAGTGTGCCGACTCGGGATGATTGCTTTACTCTATAGGCCCCACCCCCACCCCCACACTCCTCCCCTTGACCCAG